CCCTCTGACACCCCCTCACCACCCCCCAGGGGTCCCGACCCCCAGGTTGAGAAACACCACTCTAGAGGTTTAAAATAACAAATCAAAAGCAAATCCTGCTACAACATAGTGAAAAATATTTTCTTGTCCATCTGAAAAAGAAAATAGTTGCACAGTACAACAATATGAACAACATATCTGTGTGGGGTGTGTTCCAAGTCATACAAATATGTAAAACCATGGGTAATAGTGAACCTTGTTGAAATGAAGGACATCTCATCCAGGAATACCATAGAGTTGTACTTCAGGATCTAGAATATGCCCCGAGAGGACACATTTTTTCAGACATGGATAAATGAAACAGTGGATAGATATCAGTCTGGCGAATGCTGCATACTGAAATAGATTATAGCATTTCATCTGAACTATCCAAACCTTTTCTATTAATGACATTATTAAATAGTTATCATTCCCTCTAGGTTGGTCGTGTCCCCCCCCCCCCCCCCACTCCTGGTGCTGTAGTTTCTTTTATCTCAAAACTTCCTTTTCCCTTTTCTTATTATATAACACAGATTTTCAGGGACCAAGTGGAAGGTATGTCTGCAAGAGATTCTGGCGGTGTCTCTGCTGTCTTAGGTTCATTTCCCTAATGGCACAGTTGTAATTAGATTTGCAAAAACAGCAAAAGGTCTCATTTTGAATGGCAACAGCTGTTGACATCAACATTTTCATTGAATAATTTACTGGTTTAATTTTAGCGGCAAAACAATAAAAGCCTGTTGTAAATTATTCTTATACAGGACCAAAATTTTGGCCTCTTGTTTACTGCTCTTGGTTGGGTTTTGCCTAACTCTCTAATTGCAGCGTAACTGTTTTTAACTCAAGTGGCCCATGTTAAATGTTCAGAGATCATACGAATTAAGTGGTTTTAGCACCACTTTTCTTTATGATTGAACTAAAGACCATATTCTGCATGCTAAACATTGGCATTTAGAAGTTCAGGGATTTTAAACCTAGGCTGTTTTAATACAAACAGCACCTGAAACAAACAAACAAACAAAAACCATGCAAGCCTAGCTCTGCTTCTTGAGAATTCTTGAGATTTCTCCTAAAACAGGCAATAAAATGTAGACAGGTTTGTACAGCTGCTGCTCACCTTTCACCATCTATTTCTTTTCTCTGTTTATCGTAGTTCTCTTTTTGTGGATATTTTTTCCTAGGGGATGGGAAAGGGAAGGAGACAGCTAGCAAACTAATGAGCAAAGATAAAAGATGGAGGAAAGCAGCCATGGACAGTACACTCACCTCTAGCTTCCTCTTACTGCCTCCTAGATTACAACAGCTAGAATCTAGAACAGGCATGGGCAAACTTTTTGTCTTGGGGTCACATTGTGAGCTGGGCCAGGAGGGAGGGCGGCTGGGTACATGCTGGATGGGACGGGCCCAGGAGGGCATGGGAGAGGGCAGAGCCAGGAGGGGGCAGGCCATCCTCAGGTTGATGAGGCTGCTTGCTCCATCCTTATGCTGGGAAGAAAATGCGACATGATTTATTTATTTATTTCTATCCTGCTTTCCTCCTAAACCGGGACATGTGGAGATTGCACTGATAAACAGGCCTTTTTCCATCTACGACAAGCAAGGCAATTGGCACCCTACCTATCTGATGAGGCTCTGGCAGCAGTCATCCATGCCACGGTCACGTCTAGGCTGGACTATTGCAACGCCCTGTATGTGGGCCTTCCGATGTCTACGACCCGAAAGCTCCGTATTGCTTGGTATGCGGCAGCCAGGCTACTCACAAGAACACCCATGAAATGCCACATAACACCAGTGTAGCGGCATTTGCATTGGCTTCCAACTGATTACCGTGGCCTGTATAAGATGTTAGTTCTGACCTTGAAAATTCTTTACGGCCAGGGTCCATCGTATCTTAGGGACCGTCTCTCATTCTCCCATCATCGGAGGTCGCAACGGCCATCCCAATGTGACTTACTTTATATACTGGGTCCTAGAGAAGTGCACTTGGAAAGGACCAGACGCAGAGCTTTTTCTATTTCTGCCCCTGCCTTGTGGAATTCCTTGCCGCCCTATCTGAGAGCCATGCGTGATTTAGGGCCTTTTACTCTAGCACTTAAGACCTGGCTTTTTACTAGAGCTTTTGATCTATGTTAATTTTATCAATATCTGTATGTATGTATTTTTATCCTTTACAATTTAGCTTGTAAATCGCCTAGAGCAGTGGTTCTCAACCTGGGGTCCCCAGATGTTTTGGCCTTCAACTCCCAGAAATCCTAACAGCTGATAAACTGGCTGGGATTTCTGGGAGTTGTAGGCCAAAAACATCTGGGGATCCCAGGTTGAGAACCACTGGCCTAGAGCATCTTGGATGGAGGGCGATTAATAAGTAATTTGATGATGATGATGGTGGTGGTGATGATGATGATGATGAAGATTATTATTTTTTTCATGTCAGGAGCGACCTGAGAAATTGCAAGTCGCTTCTGGTGTGAGAGAATTGGCCATCTGCAAGGACGTTGCCCAGGGGATGCCGGATGATTTGATGTTTTTATCATCCTTGTGGGAGGCTTCTCTCATGTCCCCGCATGAGGAGCTGGAGCTGATAGAGGGAGCTCATCCGCCTCTCCCCGGATTCGAACCTGCGACCTGTCGGTCTTCAGTCCTGCTGGCACAGGGGTTTAACCCACTGCACCACCGGGGGCTCCATGATGATGATAATACACCTCAATACTCCTCCCTCAATCTTCAGACTGTCTTCTCAGCATTATGCCGGGAGGAGGGCAAGACAAGCACCATCCGACAGCACTCTGGAGGGCTCTCAAATGCTGTGAGCCTTCCTCAAGTTGTCTTCCCAAAATAAGACCAACACTGCATCATCCTTATGTCAGGAGGAGGGTGAGGCATGCAGTGGCTGAGAGCACTCCAAAGGGCTCTCAGATGCTGCGTGCCTTAGTCCCCCTACTTTCTTCATAAGGATACAGTGGGCCACTGAATCCTTATGCCAAGAGGACAAGGAAAATGAGGAGGGCCTGAGGAAAGCACCCAGGGGGCTGCATCCTGACCAGTTTGCCCATGCCTGGTCTAGAAATGTTTTAATTATTGATATTTTCAGTGATGTCCTTTCTGGATCTGGCCTTTTAATTCAAACCAAAACAAGCAGCTGAGAACCTTATGGGTTATATAGCATTCTGCCTGAATAACATTTTGGTTGTTTTTTCCCCTGGAGAACTGAAATATTACCTTGGACAAATACAGGGTGAGGCAGCATGACTTCTTTTTTTAAAATGGGCGCCATTCAGTCGGTTGAAGACGTAGCGGAGCGCTAGTGGTCTCGTTCGAGAGGCGGGAGTATAACATTTTGTCCTGACACAGTTCAGTCGCCATCATGCGTTGGAACAGTGAGGAGTGTGCTTTTGCCGTTGAGGCCTACTTTTTGAGTGGATTTGGAGTGGCCGGCCCGCTCTCCAGATTTGGCCCCTTGTGATTTTTTTTCTATAGGGTTTTTTGAAATCCTTTGTTTATGTGAACTGTCCAAGGACCCTACAAGATTTGAAGACCAACATCCAGGAAGGAATTGCCAACATAACACCTGCTGTGCTGGCAAGAGTCATGACAAACGCCAGAAATCGGTTTACTCAGTGTATGGAGAATGGGGGACGTCACCTACCTAATTTGATTTTCAAAACTGCGTAAAACAAAACTTTAGGTATGCGAGTACATTATAAAAAAATTCTGATTCATACAATGGGTTTTATTAAGTTTTGAAAAAAGGAAGTTATGCTGCCTCACCCTGTACTTTTAAATGGGGATGAAAGTTTGGCATTCTTGTGAAGACATGGGTCAATCAGGAACCGTAGCCAATTAAGCTGAGCTACCATGCCTTTTATTTTTAATGGTTCATTGAGAAAATAATCCTTCAAAGTGACCTGGTTCTTTAGCTATGAGCATTGTGCTTTAAATAGCATTCCATTGAAGTCCTCTTGAAGTAAATACTTTATGTTTTAACAGTGTCCCATGGCATCTGCTCCGTGAACATTAATGCCGAAGCACGGTACACAGCACCAAAGAAAAGGCTCTTAAATAAATATGAATGAGATTCTGTATCTGTGCCAACTTTCATGTTAAGAACTATTGGGGATGCTTCCGCACAAGTGTGCACCATCACAAGGGGCATTCATAGAAAACAAGAGCCATTTTAATGGCTTTAGAGGAGAAGTGCTGAACACAAGTCATTGGAACATAATAACTGAAGCGGAAATGTAATCACCGATGCTTAAAAGCAAAACCTCGGAAGATTATGTTGTTTTCCATATATGGATAGAAATATTTTTCATCAGGCAAACCATTTTGGTCACACTTTATTAAATTAATATCTGTATTCCTGTGGCTTAATGAGGAACACAGAGTGCATGAATACGAACATCAATGAAAGGCAACAGCTTTACACTTTTTCATAAAACCTTAAATGTCAGAAACACTCTATCCCAAAACATCTTCTGTACATGCATTTGTAAGTTATCACTTAACATAATATCATCAACACAAATGATATTTTACAGAGTTACATATGAAAAACACAACTCAATTAATGTAAAATCTTAAAATAAACACTTTAAAATATGCAATGCACAGAGAGAAGAGGAGAAAAAGGAAATAGCAGCAGTAACAACATATTAGAAAGAAGAAACACAAAATAAAGTGTTAAAGTAATGCCACTTTTTCGCCATTTTTACACTGGTAGGAGGAGCATTGTACAACTTCTCAAGGCTTAGAATACACCAACTTAACAACAGAATTGTACTGCTAGCAGCAATTGAGCCCTGCATGAACAAATATAGATGTTATAGATAGACTCCAGAAAAATGCAAATTGGTTACAGTTATATCCGATATGAATTAGGGGAAATTAAAGCAGTGAAACAGGTAAAATTATATTATCTTGCACAAACACAGAACAAATAAACCAAAAAAGAGTAAATGCCATTTAGTGACATACAAGCTTACCCTTGAGTACAGTTTGGATGGCAAGAGTGGCATTCACGGTCTTCATCAGCATATTTGAAAATGAAGCTGTTTGTCCCTTGTACACCATCAGGACACTTTTCCACACAATTGGGGCCATCTTTAAAATGGAAACATTTTGTGCAATGATCTGGTCCCTAGACAAAAAAAAATTGCATTGAGTTCAGACTTCCCTCTTGCTCTGGAACACCCATGAAAGACTAACTTCAATTAGTCCAGCGGGCGGCAGCCAGATTACTCACCGGAGCGTCATACAGGGAGCATACCACCCCTTTGTTGTGTCAGCTCCACTGGCTGCCGATCCAGTTCTGAGCACAATTCAAAGTGCTGGTTTTAACCTACAAAACCCTATACGGCTCCGGCCCAGCATATCTCCCTCTACGTTCCACCTCGGAGTTTGAGATCTTCTGAGGAGGCCCTGCTCTTGATCCCACCTCTATCACAAGTRAGGTTGGTGGGGACGGGGAGCAGGGCCTTCTTGGTGGTGGCCCCTCACCTGTGGAATTCACTCCCCGGGGAAATTAGGTCATCGACATCCCTCCTCTCTTTTAGAAGGAAATTAAAAACATGGATATGGGACCAGGCTTTTGGGTAATCTGGCAGATAGACAAAGGACAATGACGACTAGAATTGATAGGATTTGACAATGTGGAATGRATTTAYGGACTCTGAGCTGGCRAACDTTGAGCATTAGATTGGTTTTATTGATTATGATGTATAATTGATTGTTTTAATTGTTTATAAYTGCTGTTTATATATGTTTTATCTTATTGTTGTGTTGAGGGTTGAGAAGGATGGGGTAGAAATGYGTGAAATAAATAAATAAATAATAAATAAGATTCTCAAWTTTTTTGGAGAACAATTCCAAACTTAGGGTGTTAATATTCTAGCCATTTACACAATTTTTATCTAGGATGCCTAACACACTTATAGTAGGGATGTAAATCTTGTTCATTTCTCCCCTCGTAGACAAGAACAAATATACATGAGTTTTAAAACTGAATCGTTTTCAATACAGTTTACAATTTTAAGACCTATTCTCTAAAAATAATATATGCAAAATCAAATTTTCTGCACCAAAAATAACATTTCTGTTTAGAAAGCAAATATTCTGCACAGAAAGCAGCATTTTCTCTGTGCTGAACTTTTTTTCTGCAGAAAATATAATTTACTGTATTTACAAATCTTGGTCAATTTTCCTAAAGAATAAGTCCCAAACTGAAATTTTTCATCTGTCTAAAATTCTCCTTGTCAGAGCTTTCTGAAACTGCATTAGGTGATCATTTTATTTAAATATTTGTGGATATTCTTTCCATTCCTATCATCTAGCAGCTCTTAAGAATCACTCAGAAGCCCCATCTACGCTGCCATATAAAATCCAGTTTATCTGCTTTGAACTAGATTATATGGCAGTGTTGACTCACATAATCCAGTTCAAAGCAGAAAATAGAGAATATCTGCTTTCATACTCTGGATTATATGGCAGTGTAGAAGGAGCCTGAGATTGATTCAATTGGAGGAATTGCACCATTTCGTAACTACTTAGGTTAAAAATAACCAGCTGGAGAGAGAGCCTCAAAGACCATCAGTTTGACCAAAGAAGTCATATGTCAAATATGTGTATAATTATGCATTTGATTGATAGAATTCAAACATCTTCTCAGAAGGTAATCCTGTTTCAAACTTCTTCTTGTGTGTTCATTCTAGGGCTGGAAGTGCTGCATAATTGTTATGTGAGTGACAGGCACTAATAGGTTACGACATGAGAAATGACTAGTGATACATATAATCCTAAATCCTATTGTTAGTCCTGATGATAGTAGAGCAATTGAATCCATGTAATTATTCACTGTTCATCAGTTGATTGAATGGGTCTACTCTAATAGGGAATAACCAACTGGATGCCAACCCAAGACTCTTCCTACTCAGAAATGAAAGATCTTGTCTACAAAGATTATTGGGCATCAGTATTTAAGACAACCCTCTTCCCAGCACCTGGTTGGAGAAGAGAGAGGGAGTCAATTTAGCTTCCTAAAAAACAGAATTCTACAACTTAGAAGCATTCACCATAAAGCCTTCTCCTATTTGCTCATGAAACACAACTGACAAGGTGTTTAGCTGGAAGACCTCAATACTTGGTCAGATTTACATGGGATGCATTATCTTTTCATATTATAAATTAGAAACATGGCACGTTTCAAATTATGTTGTCATCTAGGTCTTTATATGCCTTACTCACCGGTCCCCTACATGTGATCCTGTTGTTATCCATCTTCTCACACTGAGAGTCACATTCCACACAGACGGAACCATTTGCAAACTCTCTGTATTCTCTAAAAAATGGATAAAGATCATTAAAGCATTCATTTAATCACTGAACGAGTTCACTTTTCAATATGAATATTGTTATTTCAATGGGAAAAAACTTGAAGTCATGTATCAATTAAATGCCATAGGCACTTGGTTAACAACATGATGTTTGATGTAAGGAATGTTTTAGGTGATATAGCTTTCTTCTACCCATAGTTATGATCAGGGGCAGATATATTAGCATGCCCAGGGATGCCACATAAGATGGAAGGACTAGCAAATATGAAATCTCTTACAACAACAACAATCTTTATTTGTATCCCACCCCTTCTCCCCAAAGGACTTTGGGCAGCTTACAACAACTATAGGTGATTTGTTTTCTTCATGAGTCATGAGTGATTGCCTATAGTAGTGTATATAATAGGCTTGATTGATTTAAAAAAATGGTTCAAAACCCGTTGGTGGTTCGACTTGAAATTAAATTCTGAATTTTTCCAAAAAAAATTGGAACTTTCAGAAATTTTGGAAATTTCCGAATGGCTTCGTTAATGGCAGATGTGATTGCACATACATGAAAAACAGCAAATGATACTGGGCAAACTTCTGGGGATTCTTTCTCCCTGATTTCAAAAGTTAGGGAAGTATAGGCATGAAAGTATGGAATTTCTAGTGTCTTCTTAGGCAACTATTTATTTATTTTTATTCACAGCTTTTATATTCCACCCTTCTCACCCCGCAGGGGACTCAGGGTGGATTACAATGTACACATATATGGCAAACATTCAATGCCAATTAGACATACAACATATATAGACATACACAGAGGCTATTTAACTTTTTCTGGCCGCCAGGGGAGCTGTCGCTTTCATCGTCCATCTGCGACACTGATGAAGTACTTCTGCATTCCCCACATGCTTTGCTGGAGTGCTTTTTGCTGGAGTCTTTTTATGGCCTCATAAATTAGTTAAATTAGCCTCCCCACACATAGGTGGTACCTAATTTTCCTACTTGACAGATGCAACTGTCTTTTGGGTTGCAAAGGTTGACAACAAGCTACACAATTGGTCGGACACTCACTCCGACCCAGGCTGGCTTTGAACTCATGACCTTCTCGTCAGAGTGATCTTAATGCAGCTGACACTCAGCCAGTTGCACCACAATCCCGGTGCAACTCACAACAAACAAAGAAAATAACAAACAGCCCTTCCCTTTTTGCCTTGGAAACTCATTTCACTACATTGGGAAGGAGAGTTTGTATTCAAAGAGTGGCTTGAATTGATGGGAGATCTAGTTCTTTGGAGGCAATGTGCAACACAAACTCAAAAACATTGAGGCCAGAGAGACCAGCTACAACATTGTTTTTTTAAAATGTTGGAGTGAGTGCTTTGGTTCCTCTGTGTTGCTCCCACCCACACCACTCACACACACACACACTACCTTCGCAATGCTCACCCAACCTGAACCCCAACAGCAACAGCACACAAGCGGCAAGGCAGGCTGTGCCCACTGCCCAGCCAGAATCATTTCCAACTCACTTCCTGAGTTGTAACAAAAATGGCAGAAAAAGCTCCGGAAGGGCAAAGGGACTTCCGGGTTTTTTTAATTGCTTCAAAATTGCTTCAAAAAAGGTAACTTTAACAAAATTATTGCAAGTAACGAGTAATCCAACGCAGCTCTATCCATGCCTACTAACTATCTTTGGAGTTGCACTTAAAAGATGTACCTGTTCCAACTTACAAATAAATTCAGCTTAAGAAGCTACAGAACCCAGTATCTTGTTTGTAACTTGGAGATTGCCTGCAAACAAGCCAATAAAATGCAATTGGGGAGGGAGGGCAGAAAAAGGAAAATCTGTTCAAGAATAACTACAAGCATATATGGAAGTTTCTCAACCTTCCTAATGCCGCAACCCCCGAATACACTTCCTCCTGTTGTGGTGACCCCCAGCCATAACATTATTTTCGTTGCTACCTCATAACTATCATTTCGCTACTGTTATGAATCTTAATGTAAATATCCAACCAATTGTGTAGCTTGTTGTCGACCTTTGCAACCCGAAAGACAGTTGCATCTGTCAAGTAGGAAAATTAGGTACTACCTATGTGTGAGGAGGCTAATTTAACTGGACCAAATCTGGCACAAATACCCAAACATTTGAATCCTAGTGTTGTGGGGGGGGATTGATTTTGTCATTTGGGAGTTGTAGTTGCTGGGATTTATAGTTCACCTACAATCAAAAAGCATTCTGAACTCCACTAATGATGGAATTGAACCACACTTGGCACTCAGAACTCCTATGACCAAGAGAAAATACTGGAAGGGTTTGGTGGGCATTGACCTTGAGTTTTGAAGTTGTAGTTCACCTACATCCAGGTAGAGAACTGTGGACTCAAACAATGATGGATCTGGACCAAACTTGGCATGAATCCTCAATATGCCCAAATATGAACACTGGTGGAGATTGGGGAAAATAGAACTTGACATTTGGGAGTTGTAGTTGCTGGGATTTATCATTCACCTACAATCAAAGAGCACTCTGAACTCCACCAATGATGGAATTAAACCAATCTTGGCACACAAAACTTCCACGACCAACAGGAAATACTGGAAGGGTTTGGTGGGCATTGACCTTGAGTTTTGGAGTTGTAGTTTATCTCATCCAGAGAGCACTGTGGACTCAAACAGTGGACTCAAACAGTGATGGGACTGGACCAAACTTGGCACAAATACTCAATATGCCCAAATGTGAACACTGGTGGAGTTTGGGGAATAGAGACCTTGACATTTGGGATTTATAGTTCACCTACAATCAAAGAGCACTCTGAACCCAGCCCACAATGGATCTGCACCAAACTTACCACACTACCTACATGGCCAACATTGAATACTGGTGGGGTGGGGTGGGGTGGGGGTGCTATTTTTGAATTCTGGGAGTTGTAGTTCACCAACACCAAAAAGGAAGAGAAGGACAAACGGAGTGATCTTTAGCCTTCTCTGCCAAAAGAGTTCCTATGACCATCAGAAATATGTTTTTTTTCTGATGGACTTTGGTGACCCCTCTGAAACCCACTCGTGACCCCCTCAGGGGTCCTGACCCTCAGGTTGAGAAACACTGATATATGGCCTTCTCTTCCTCAATCTGGAGAGGTGGTACTCTACTTGTGGATGGAAGGTGTAGCGCAGCAGCAATGAAGAACAACAGTAAAACACTAATGAAGTATAAAATTACAATTCATTTAAATCAAGCTCTCAAGATTTTTAAAAAGAAAATCTTAGTAGATTTATTCATAGATATCCAATTAAGAACAGGGGTAAGACAACAGAAAGTGAGAAAAATCTTCCCCCTGGGAAGGAAATTTTACTCCTGAAAGCATAAATTATAACTAGGAAGATTTTGTAAAAAGTTTTTTTTATTTTATACTACATATTTGAAAGGAAAATCTTTCAGGGAAAATTGGCTATGATTACTAGATGCTAATGGGTCATTTAGGCTTCTTTCATAGATCTGCTGAAAAGAGCCACTCGGGTTTTTTTTAGCTCTTGCATCAAAAAGTAGCTTAGCACATCCTTAATTGAAACATATTGACTGCTAACATTAAAAACACTTTTCAGATATCAGCCCCAAGTACAGGATATGTTTTAGAGTCAGGGGAAACCATCATAGCAACACCTGCGTGGAGCCATAGCAACACCTCTTCAGCCCTGCTGCCTTGCAACTCCTGGGCTGGGCACCTTCATGGCCCAACAGCCTTTCAGTGAGAGTACTTCAATAGATCTCACTACCTCTGAGGATGCTTGCCATAGATACAGGCAAAACGTCAGGAGAAAATGCCTCTAGAACATGGCCATACAGCCCGGAAAACCTGAAACAACCCAGTACTTCAATTGCTTAGTTGCTTGGTCATAGCAAAAGCTATTGAATGACTCCTTGTGTCTTTATTATATAAGATCAAGACCAGAATGAAGTCCAAAGAAAATAGCGCACAAATCAGAAACAATCATAATTTGTAAGCCGTTCTGAGTCCCCTTTGGGGTGAGAAAGGCGGCATATAAATGTAATCTATATAAATAAAAATGTAATGTTCGTTTGTGGGATTAACAGAACTTAAAAACCAGTGGGCCAATTGACACCAAATTTGGACAGCAAACACCTAACAACCCAATGTATGTTCTTGACTCATTTTTTTTTATTTTGTCATTTGGGAGTTGTAGTTGCTGGGATTTATAGTTCACCTACAATCAAAGAGCATTCTGAACTCCACCAATTATGGCATTGAACCAAACGTGGCATACAGCACTCCCATGATCAACACAAAACACTATAAGGGTTTGGTGGGCATTGACCTTGAGTTTGGGAGTTGTAGTTCACCTACATCCAGAGAGCACTGTAGACTCAAACAATGATGGATCTGGACCAGACTTGGCACTGATACTCAAAATGCCCAAATATGAACACTGGTGCAGTTTAGAGAAAATAGACCTTGACATTTGGGAGTTGTAGTTTCTGGGATTTATAGTTCACCTATCATGGGAAGAGTGGACTCAATTACAAAGACAAGAAAACATGGGAAAGTGGAAAGCATCAGGAACAGAGGAAGGCCATATTCTGAATGAATAGATTCAATCAGAGAAGGAATGGTTCTGTACCAGCAAGATCTGAGCTCTTAAGGTTAGGTTGACTTGGAGATCTCTCATTCATTGAGGCCCTGTCTACACTGCCATATAATCCACATTATCTCCTTCGAACTGGATACCTGTCTGAAGGATTATTTCTTCGTGTACATATAGATGTGATTAAATAAAAAAATGTAGTGGAGTACATCCTTCAGCTATGTGCCTATATAAAGGTTGTGGAGCAATATACATAACAAAGAATGTAGGCTTTAGATGGCAGGTGTGAAGTCCCCTTGATTTATTGTCGAAGGCTTTCATGGCCAGAATCACTGGGTTGTTGTAAGTTTTTTCTGTGGAATGACCAAGGTGGACAAAGGACTCTTGTCTGTTGGAGCTAGGTGTGAATGTTTCAAATGACCACCTTGATTCATCAAATCAAGGTAGTCATTTGATAGCCATCAAATGCTAATCAAGGTGGTCATTTGAAACATTCACATCTTGCTCCAACAGACAAGAGTCCTTTGTCCACCCTGGTCATTTTTCGGGCCATATAGCCCGAAAAACCCTACAACATCCCCTTGATTTCTTACCATCCATTTGATCTGTGATGTCGACCTGAGCTAGCAGATTATTCAAGCTGAATAGAAACCATATCCATCAATGTTTCTTACTCAACATACTTGGATGCCATATGCCACAAAAGATCTTTTATGTAATGGATGTACAAAACAGTTCATTTCTAGCCCCAGTGGATACTCAATACTGCCATCAGGTATGCAATGACAGATCTCACATGCAATGACAGAAGCAATATGGAAAGGAACAGTTTCATTTTATTCTGCATTCAAGCATCTCTCAAGAACTGTAAGCAAATCTAGGTACCACATTTTAAGAAAAAACTGACAAATGGGAGTGCATTCTGAAAAGGCAGACCAGGCTGGTTTGAAGTTTAGACATAAAGACATTCAAAGAACAATTAAAAAGAGCTATTTATACTGGAGAAGAAAAGATTTATGAAAATTGTGGTGGTGGTTTTGAAATATTCAAAAGGTGCTCCAAAGGGCAAGATTTCATCAAAATTGAGAAAGTAGGTTGTAGGACAGACTGCCACAGGAATTGATGAGCTCTTCTTCATTGTGGGACTTAATAAGATGATGAGTAGTGATCTATTAAATATGCTCTACTTGTATCTTTCACTGCAAATCTTGCATTCACCAGAAGTTGGTAGTAGATTGTGAGTACTACAGTCCTTGCCAATGCTATGAATTTCATGTTGGGCAATTTTGGCTGAAAACCAAAATTTTATGCTGTTTCTCAGTATATCACTAATACGAATAAACTGTTTGTCATTGTGCTCTGCATCTCAGTACCTCAATTAAAATACTGATAAAAACACAGCACATGGTTTTAGACTACTGGTTTTCTTTCAAAAGACTGACCTGTTCTTTTGCTTCACCCCAAACATATCAGTCTGCTCTATTAAAAATGTATGTCAGGCAATCATAAGTGTAACCATTCAAATTACCCTAGGGATTTTTTTTTCTTTTTTGAAATCAGCTTTTCTTTCAAAGCCTTATATCAAGATGGGCTACTGTATTATGTCTGAGCACATTACTTGTTTCAGACACTTATCTGCAACAATAAATTGCTCTGGGAGCACAAATTTTCTTCTTTCATTATCCTTTCTATGCATTTCATCTAAATATGTCTTTTCAAATTTTAAAACAATGAGCATAGTTTTGGAAAACATATATACATGTGCAGAGAGAGAGACGGAGAGGGACAGAGAGACAGATCTTGCAGATAAAATGTCTTACCCATCATAGAGGTTACAAGCCTTTACACAGGTCCTTCCTCTGATGAAATGCCTACAGGACAAACACTGGTCTGGCCCTGGTCCCCAACATCCATTTCTCGAGCATAAAGGGCTGCATACCATCCCCTCTGTAGCTGTAACATAAAAGTAGGAACAATTATTATACCTTATGCTAAATGGCAAGATCAGTTATCAGATTTAGGGCGCTTGCAGACAGCATCAAAATGCTGATTTAAAAAGTGGGTTTAAAAATCATGGGACCTGACAGCACGTCCAGACACAGACCTGTCAGTCACAGGAAATGGTTCCCTGCTGTTCTGACATCTTCCTTTGTAGCAAATTTTACAAATCCACAAGATGGATGAGGGATGAGGGACATCTGGTGGAAAATTATATATATATATATATATATATATATATATATATATATTGGCTTGGTTTAACAAGAAAAAATGGTTCTAAACTTGTTTCGTATATAGGGGGCGCTGGCATTTCGATTTTAAAATTATTTCTCTTTTTTTAAAAAAAAAAAGATTGGAAATAGCAAAAATCTGAATAGCTTCGTTTACTTCGTTAATGGAAGGTGCCCTCCCCTGTTAGTTCAAAATCTCCCAGTTTCCCTGGCCTCCCTGGCGACAAGTGGCGATGTGGTTTCGCCCAGTGGCCGTCAAGTAGAGCTGGATGTGGCCATGCCCACCTCCTCCCTCTGCCATCCATCGCCCTTTCCTGTCACACAGAGAAGGGGAACTGCAAGATTACTTTTAAAATCTTGCAGTTTCCCTTCTCTGTGTGATTGCAAAGGGCAAGGATATGAGGTGGGCGTGGCTACGTTCAGCTCCTCTTGATGGCCACTGGGGCGTGGCCTTCAGGATGAGCTGGGCGTGGCCATGCCCATCTCATTCCCCTGCCTGCCAACCATTGCCATTTGCAGTCACCCATCCAGGGAAGGGAAACTGCGAGATTTTAAAACTAATCTCACAGTTTCCCTTCCCTGGGTGGGTGTCAGCGAATGGCGATGGGTGGCAGGGTAATGAGGTGGGTGTGGCTACGCCCAGCTCTTCTTGACAGCCACTGGGGGCATGGCCTTCAGGAAGAGCTGGGCGTGGCCATGCCCACCTCGCCCTTCCACATCGCAGCTTGTTGCCAGGGGAACTGCAAGATAATGTAAACCTTGACCAGACATACGAAAATAACTCCGAAAAATAGGTAAATTGTTTCAATTCATTATTACTCCTCACACTATTCCAGCATGGCTCGAAATTGTTTTGTAAGTCATTTAAATATGAATTCATTCCGATTTTAGAAGCTAACGAACCTGTTCAACCAAGACCTCATATGTACTCATGTGGAGATCTAAATGTACACAAGCAGATGCCTATTCTCTCTCCTCACCCAACTGTAAATGCAAGCTCTGTTTACAAATATAAAGATCAGAACAAAGGAATTGTTGCAGAGTTCTAATTGTAATTGATTTCCAACTGTGCTTCCATTTAGCCAATGGACTCCAAAAATGGAGTCAAAAATGCATGACTCCATTTTTGACAGCTTAATCAGCTGCTTGGGGCTTTTAAAATATGCACTTTGATGGAGCAGTCCACACCAGGGGATCAGAAGGAAGTCATATGTTTTCATGACTGCAGGGATATACAGTCATGAGAAGATGCACATTTTTGGCCAGAATTGGGTTTTAAGCACACCCTTTGAACCCGTACTTTTCAGCTGTTAACCCAATTCTATTTGCACTTTTTCAAAACATCATTTAGCCACTCTTCTTTTAATCCCAGATTCTTCTGCATTTTTAGTTATGTGTAGAAGGACCCTTAGAAAGCTTGATTTCAAATGTTGTCACACTGCACACTAACTTAAGGTACGTAGGCCTCTCTCCATTTGAGGAGTAACTTCTTCATGATCAAAAGTAGGAAGGCTCTGGCTCAGACAATGGAAGAGTGTCTTTCCCATAGTGGTGTTCATATAAGCAAAATACTCACATGAAAATTTTGTACAGAATAAATCCTTATTGTGGATAGCCTTAAAATTGTGTGTGTTTTTTAAACTGTCTTTTGTTTTATTATATGATTATTTAATATGCAATATATTGTCATCTCAAATACCCTAGATTTTTATACCCTAGAATCTGAAATAACTTACAAACAAAACATAGTGACATCCCCCCCCCCCCCCCCCCACACACACACATAAAATGTGCTACCTAGCTACACACATAGCAAAAACGAAATGTATAACAGGTTTGTAATGGACCAACAGGTTTGTAATGGATGTGTTACATTTCTATGGACAGCAAGAAGTTTTGCAACAACATAAGACACTGTTTTCAAATTAATAGTGTAAGATGTTGAGTTGGAATACATATTAACAGATGAAACATTCCAATCCTATATGAGACCCCATCTACACTGACCACTTATATTGAAGTAAAGGCAGGTCAGCCCTGTGGTGGCCAAATGCTGCATGGGGCTGATCTAAGGAAACTTTGGAGCATAACCACCTAACATGGCCTTTTCCTGTATTAGCCGAAGGAAAGTCTTAATTCTGCCACAGAAATCAGACTACTCCTTGAATTAGGGCTTGTGGAACAGGTCCTAAACACCAGTCTCCACTGCCATCCCATGTTTCCCAGGTTTGAGTGCCCCTGAGACAATGAGTGGCAGATATCTATCCCCGGGTTGTAGTGGCCCCTGGCCAAAACATAGGTCCTACTTATCTGTTATCATGTTCAATGACAGCCAGAACAACAAGATATGCTAAGAAGAAGGGGGAGAGAAGGGGATTCCCCCCCCCCCCGGTGTCCAATTGCCCTTGGCCCCGTCTCACTAAAAGCGGAATAAAAGAACCTATTTAATGTTTTAAAAAGAACTTATAACAACTGGACCAACAAAGGTAAGACAATAATCCAGTGGATTCAAACTGGTTTCATTGGAATGTCTGGACTTTGTCCTGCCACAACGCAGAATGGACATGGGATATTGTAGCCACCCCTGGGATTAGTCTGGAGCATTGCTATTCCAGGCTGGCCCTGGATTTTAGCATAGATGTGAATGAACCATAAGAGAGAATAGTGGATATTCTGCTTTGGCATGCACAATGGATGATGGGATTCCCACCACAATGCTGTATTCTGCACTGCAAGGTTTTAATTAGTTATTCATAGACATAAAACAACCCATGTATATTGAACTAAACAGACCACAAAGAGGAAACAAACTTCACAGACTAATCATCACAGACTAATTCACAGACTATGTGTAAGCAATCATCAAATGCTCACTCATAACATCATCTTAACCGACTTCCCAGGTTTTTGTTTTTGTCATGTCAGGAGCTACTTGAGAAACTGCAAGTCGCTTATGGTTTGAGAGAATTGGCCGTCTGCAAGGACGTTGCCCAGGTGACCCCTGGATAATTTGATGTTTTTATCATCCTTGTGGGAGGCTTCTCTCATGTCCCCGCATGAGGAGCTGGAGCTGATAGAGGGAGCTCATCCGCCTCTCCCCGGATTCGAACTTGCGACCTGTCGGTCTTCAGTCTTGCCGGCACAGGGGTTTAACTTCCCAGGTTGGTTGTGGAGGAATATTAAGATCTAAATCCAAATGCTGCTTCAAATCAATTGAGTCAAATATGGAAAGTACACTAAAACCTATGCAGATTCCATTGATTAAATGAGGTTTGCTCTTGTGGGGACAAAACAATTGTATTTAGGCCTTCGGATGCTGTGCAGAGCATCAGTGGAATAACCATAATACTAGTCAAAATGATTTCTATTAGATTTAATGAATCCAGGTTCTTGGAGACTTACTATAATTAAGTTAATTAACAATATACTTTAAAGCATGTTTTGCATTATTTGGAAAAAAATCCTGATTCTGCCCTGTCATGTTTTATAAAACTAGAGTTTGATGGAGTTTGACAAGGAAACTAAACTTTTCTGCTCAACAAAGAAAAAAAAAAGAAGCCCCACTTTCTATATAAGATATAAACCTCTGAGTAATCTTTCATTAAAAACCTTGGCTTGTCAGCTCCTTTTATTAAAGGAAAGTTCCATAACAATATTACTCAGTTAATTAAACAAGCAGGAATAAAATCAATTAGGCCTCCAAGATTTATAAACTTAATTGACTAAAGGTGTTTATGAAGAAGCTGTGGCTTTCTGAAACAGAGCTGGTGAAGCACGACAAAGCACTTAGGTATTGGTTAATGCTTCCCTTCTTCACTCTAGCCCATTATTTCCATTTAAGTTGCAACTTTTTCTGACCCATTGCTTATTCTGCTGAGGGTTAGAATCATCGTTTTCATTTGACAAAAATGAAACCCAAGCAGTCATGTCTTGTTTACAGGACAAGAGAGAATTATTGAAAATAATATTAGTGAGACAAAGCAAGTAATCCATGAGGTTTGGTGCTCCTCTGAAGCAAGTTTTGAAAAGTTTTCAGTACTGAAAGCTGGTTTTAGCATTTGCCCAAGGGATCTAACTCTAACATACTCTCCTTTGGCTAGGTATGCCTGCCCATTAGTTTCCAGGCAAAGTACTAAGTGTTGGCTACTAGCTTGAAAGCCCTACATGGTTTGGGCCCAGATTACAAGAAGGGATCACTTCCTCCTATATAATCTCCTCCATATACTCACGTCCTCCATGATATGTTTATTCAGTCAGCCAATGGACACCTGGAGGCAGGCATGTAGCCCGGGGGGGGGGGGGGTTCTCATGGTCTGCGAAAAGGCCTTACTGGTGCATTATTTAAACTGTTATGTTTATTCATATCATGATCTGATCACCATACTCAATATATCCCATATGCATGGGGGTATTGGGGTAACTATACAAAAGGTTTGCTAGGGTAGACCCTCTTTCACTCAGACTCAGAACTCAGCCCCCCCCCCGAAAAACTCAGCCCCCCCCCCCTCGAATCGAAATCCTGGCTACGGAGGACTACTTCTTCAGCCACTCCTAAATTGTGGAATGACCTGTTGGGACTCAGCCTGTGTCTGAGCCTGAATCTGTGATTGTGTTTCCCCCTTCTAATGTTTCTGGGTCTGACTTGGATAGTGAACCTGATGTGATCAGTGAGGATGAGATGCAAAATGGAGACACTTTGGACAATAAGGTTACTGCAGACTCTGATCGAGAAGGGTCAGGGGAAAGGCTAAGTTCTCATGAGAAAGTTCCTGTCACAGCAAGGGAAGAAAGTTTACTCCCTTCTCCAGGCTCGAGTTTGCAAGATAGTTTCACACCTGCTGCAGTTAATGAGGAGATAGATAAGACCAGCCGTCATCTGGAAATCAGCCAGAACCGTCGAGAAGCCCAATGTTTACACAGGTCAGAAAGAATTCTGCAATTAAGGCCAAAAACTTGGGGGAGTAGAAACCAGTTTTTGGGACTTAAATTGAGCTCTTAGAGAATTTTCTTTAGACCAGGCATCATTTGGAATCAAGCTGAAGTCTCCTGGATATTCCATGTGCCCTCATCTCTAAGGATTCATGGCTTTTCAAGTGGATTAGCAGTGGCTAGTCTGTTCATGGTTTTATTTTGAAGGCTTTTGGTTATTCATTGCATTTGGATTATTTCTGCAAGCTTTGGGGCTCTGTTTGGACACTGCTTATGTTGCTGCTTTATTTGGCTCTTTGCTTTTGGACTTCTACTTATTTTTATACATCTCTTTTATTGGCTCCAGTTATTCTTCAAGTAAAAGGACTCTTCCTTCATTCAAGGTGTGGTGTAATTAATGATTAGAGGGTCCTGGTCCTGTTCCTGTTCTAGGATGCAACATGACCTGCCAGAAAAAAAATCAGTGCACTGTCTATTTAAAAAAAAAAAAAGAATAAGACCCATATCTTCCAGAAGGCCTACCCAGATGTTTTTTAAACTATGAATGGCTGTTTTAATAGGGCTTCTATGTTCTTTTAAATTAATGTATTAACTAGTTGCTGAGTTTTAACAAAATCTATGTGTTGTATTTTAATATGATATTGTTTCCCATCTTGATCTACAAGAAGATGAGAAGGAGGAGGAGAAGGACCTGCATGCCAATTTTCTATGTCATGCCACATGGTTGACACCAAATTCATCCTAAATGGTAGCCATGATGGAACACTTTCATTGATCAAGTTTTCTTTCAAAAAACTGAGACCTGTCTTAGTTTTTACCGGAGGCATCCAAATGGTGCCTCCGGTAAAAATGAATTAATTACATACCCCATTAGATCCATGCCTTCCTGAAAGGCCCAAATATAATGGAGTATTGGGCTTGTGGAGGCTCACATCCGGGTTGTTTCAGGACTACCCAGGGGGTGAGTCTATATTGCATCTTATGCCTTTTGGGCTCCTGGAGCCTAAAGATGCAGGATGGTGCCCATCCCTTCCCCCAAGCCCCCCATTAAGCCTCTAAAAGTGAAAGAAAAGGTACTTGGCCACCATAACGTCTCTGCTCACATTTTCCTGGTGTGGGGAAATGATGTGTGAGGGTTGGGGGTCTGTGTGAGAGACCAATGAGGGATCTTCCTCCTTGCCTCTCCCCTCTCCTCAAGTGTCATTTCCTTGCACCGGGAGTATGTGAGGGGGAAATTTATGATGGCCAGGTACCCTTTCTTTCACTTTTATTTGGGGGGGGGGGGAGGAGGGGAATTAGATTTCTATAAGTCTCTGAGCATATCATTGTAAACAGTCCTCCAAACCAAATTTCACATGGAAGTGATCTGATCATGATAATGGGGTTGTTGTATTCTCTCCCCCACCCCCAATAACCGACATCTATCCAATAGCAAAATCCAAATCTAAGGCGTGTGTTTTGCCACATGAATAGGAGGGATGGTATTGGGGCAGCCCCATGGTTGCCATGAAGTCTGAGCAAACCCCAGCATGACATCCTCAGCATGCCCTAGATATACTTGTAATGTCCATTAATAATACTAGTCTTGGTAGTTTTTAATGTAATAACTGAGATTTTGGCATGTCAGTTCGAGCTTAATAATTTTAAACAGTTTTGTAGGGAAATGCAATTCAATTATCAGTATAATTGCATTAGAGGAATGACTGCCAGTTTTGGGTTTTGTTTTCTTTTTTGAATTCATGGCCTTCTCCCTTTTTTTTTTCAAGCTCTTCAACTGCAGATGCTCCTTTGAAATCACTGACAATAACATAAAATGAATCTTCATCAAGCCACATTTTCCCTTTGATGCTTTTAATATAGGCTTCTAGTAATGCCATTTGAAAGAAACCATCCTAACAGCACACATGTGGCTCTTTCACTTACAAAAGGAATAAGTATATCTCAGAGCTTGGTAAAGTTTTATTTAATTACAACACAAGAATACCCCAGATGGGAGATCCTAGGAGTAATATTCTATAAAAGTAAGTGTTCAAGCACTGGCATATCTCCCTCTTCAGTGGAAAATTCAGTGAATGTGTTTCAACTCATTCACTATCCCCCCCCCCCCCCCGAAAAAAAAAACTACAAAAGCTAAGGGACCTTCTTGTATCAGAAGATACTGCTAAAACATGGAATTATGTTTCTCCATTCCTTAGTACTCCCTTCTGTCTGCAGCTATATTTTCAAGCCAATTGACTTAGGCAATAATAAGTTCATCCAATGAGGATGAAGTGCAGAGAAACAGTTCAGAGGTTAAAACAAAACAAAACCTCAGGAACTCGGGGAATATCAATGAGACACCTGGATCACCAGGAAGAAGGTAACAAACCATTGCATTGCTGCCCTCCTAGATTTGTCATGCAATAATTACTGCAAGCAAGAGATGCCTACATGTTTTTTTCTTCAAACTGTAGAACTCTCATCTGATGCTCACTTTGACATGTTATGGCCCATTTAATAAAAGCTATTAATGACTAATACATACAAATACAAAAATCTACTATGCTGGGACATGAATGATCCATCTACACAGCCTTCCTGAGACTTCAGAATATCCAAATCAATGCTCAAAACTGCTCAAACCAACTTTGAAACCAGTGTCTAGCACATTTGGAAAATGGTAGGGGATTAGCCCACTATGGCTGATACACATCTTACTGACTCCCATCCACCATGTGTTCCTCTTGTTGCTTGCCAATACTCAGGTTCACTGCAACATGGATGCTGAACCCAGAATCTATTAGTTGTGTCCTAGGTAATCCCCTTGAAAGCACAGGTTCACAGCTTGGGGGTCGTCCTGGACTCATCACTGAGCCTAGAATCCCAGGTTGTAGCTGTGGACAGGGGAGCGTTCGCACAATTAAAACTTGTGTGTCAGCTGCACCCGTACCTTGGGAAGTCAGACTTGGCCACGGTGGTCCACGCTCTTGTTACATCTAGGATAGACTACTGCAATGCAGTCTAATTGGGTTGCCTTTGAAGATGGCTTGGAAGCTTCAAATAGTCCAACGAGAGGCAGGCACGTTAATAACTCAGGCGGCATACAGGGAGCATACATCTCCCATGTTACGCCAGCTCCACTGGCTGCCAGTTTGCTACCAGGCACAATTCAAAGTGCTAGCTTTGGCCTATAAAGCCCTAAATGGCTCCGACCCAATTTACCTGTCCAAATGCATCGTAGAGATTAAGATCCTCCGGGAAGGTCCTGCTTTCTGTCCTGCCATTGTCACAGGCGCAATTGGTAGGGATGAGAGACTGGGCCTTCTCGGTAATTGCCCCCTCCCTGCTATGGAACTCCCTTCCTGGTGAGATCGGATCACCCTCCCCTCCCTCTTGTCCTTCAGAAGGATGGTAAAAACTTGGCTGTGGGACCAAGCTTTGGGGACAGGGCAATAAAGAAGCAATAGGAAAGATTACCAGGCCAATTAGATTTGACGCTGATGACCAAGACAGATTTAAATGGTGTATTTTAATATTGAGATAAATGTTTTTAATATTTATGTATGTATATATGAATTCTTGTCATGAAATTGAATGTTTGCCGTATATATGCTGTGCTCTGCCCTGAGTCCCCTTCGGGGTGAGAAGGGTGGAATATAAATGTTCTAAATAAATAAATAAATAGTTCCTTCTGTGTGTGGGCTTATATGACAGAGGATCAGCATTGTTAATATTGTATTATGGGGATAAAGCACTACTGAATAGATCTCAGCAACCACTCACCTTTTCTCCCCACAGAGCTATCAGTACATTGGATAAGTCTCTTAGGGGAAAGGAATGACTGACAGTTGTAATACTGATCACAGACCACTCATCAGAATACAGTATACGTTTTTGCCAATGCTCTCTCTTTCAGAGCACACATTAGCATAGCAAGTCTTACTTACTGCAGTTTTCTGCTTTCTTGTTTCTATGGATCACAGTCTTTTGGTTGGGAGTGCTGAAGAGGCTGGTCCAGTTGATGGTATGATAGTAGCACAGGTTACTATTATCTGTTATGTAGACATTACCAGCGCTGATATGCTTCAGGGACTGAAACTGCAGCGATCTAATTCCATGCTGCTTGAGAATGAGCAAAGACAGGCCACTGGAAGAAGAAACAAGAACAGAATCATAAAGAGGGACATCACGTTATGTAGGTGCCTGAATTATGGAGGCTTCCTTGTTGCTTAGTGACAACCATTATGGAGAACTTGAGGGCCTGAAACTGAAAAGGTGGAAAATTAATCTAATTTTCCCCACTTCTTATTTCATCCAGATTATTACGAACCAGAAGGAAAGAGTGCTTACTTAGAACAGCACAAAAAACTACATGTGCTCAAAAGTAATAAGTAGTTAAGGAATGTTTCCCTTTTATTCAAATGATCTAGAGAAACTGAAGGGACTTAGAAGATATTGATGCCTTGAAATCACATGTCAATTTATGGTAATACTATTAATTTCATAGATATTTCTTAATCAAATAATATTTAGAGGTGGTTTGTCATTGCCTTCCTCTAAAATATAACACATAACACCTGGCATTCCTTGCTGGTTTCCCTTCCAAGTTCCAACAAGCCTGATCCTGCTTAGCTCCAAAGATCAGATGCAATCTGTTGTTTAACTATTTTATTTTATTTATTTCAAAAGCATTGCATACATTAGTATAAAACTGATAAAAATAGAAGGTGTGCAAGCGGCTAAATATCTTTTGACCAAAAACGGGCAACAGCAATGGCATTGTCTGTAGCCTCCAGCAATTCCTCCTCTGTACATGAGGCAGGGCACAAAGGACAAGTATAAAGATGCAGAGTTATCTGTTCTGCTCCACAGTTACACAAGATGTGGGGTTCTTTTAGGTAGTGCCATTTTGCCAGGTTGTCTTTTGATCTGCCCACTCCGCTTCTGAGTCTATTCAGGGACTTCCAGGTTGCCCATTCTTGGTTTGCCCCTGGAGAAAGACCCTCGTGGGGGACCATCCAGTTGGGATTTCCTGATTTAGCTGCCCAGAGGGATACCCTTGCTGTTGCTGGAGGGACGGCAAGAAGAGTGGTAGTTCTCATAAAGCTTTTCCTTGATTTGAGTCTCCTGGGAGGAGGCTGGTAGCCTTTCACAGTGTTCAACCTTATTTATCTCACATTTAGCAGCAACTTCTCGTTGCACATCGGGGGGGGGGGGGGCAATGCCAGCTAGCTTGTACAGTTTATCAACAGGTTTAACTATTATCCTTAACAAACACAACCAGTTTAGTCGAAGTGGAAAATATATATAAAAATGCCATTCTATGTGGACACTAAACATGGCTTTTTAAGTCAACTGTAGGTGTAGATAGAAACTTCAGAACTATCAGCCAGACCATGGAGCAAAAGACAAACACACAGAGCTACAGATTTTGGACCCAGAAATTGGTTTTAAGCCTGAGAATGGAAAGAAGCTCATAGTCCTTACTCACGAAAATCCACTTCTGGGTATCCTTTATCTTGTCAAGGCGCAACTTAGGGAGATCGTGATCTCATTAAGCAACTGATCCTAAAACATTTGGGGATCAGAAATCCTTGCTGAATTGCCGTGGAACATTGCAAGATCCAGATCACTTTATTTTTTGAATGGAATGAGCAGGGGTACAATCTTATATAAAAAATGTATTGCAAAAAGCAGCAAAATGCACAATAGCTTCTCAAGTAATTGCAGCATTCATGGTGAGATTTTTTTTAAAAAAATAATTGGGAAAAGATTTGAAAGTATACCCATTTTCCATCAGGGCACATGTTTTCCATATGAACATATTGGAAGGGCAGCAGACAAAGCTTAAAAATTATGATAAGTCAGTCTGATTATCCTTGATGTTCCATTGTTGATTGGGAGGCTCTAACACAGTGGTTCTCAACCTGGAGGCCGTGACCCCCAAGGGGGTCACTGGGTCATTTTCTGGGGGTCGCGAAGCTGCCTCTGTTGGCCCCGCCCCCTCCAAAATGGCTGCCGGCTCCTGTGCGAGCCAAACAGACACGGCCATGGAGGGGGCCTTTCCCGTTCGCCCCATGCACCCTCTGGCCTTGGAGGATGCGAGGGGCAAGTGTAAGGCCCTCGCCATGGCTGCGGCCATGGAGGGGGCCTTTCCCGCTCGCCCCACACACCCTCTGGCCTTGAAGGATGCGAGGGGCGAGTGTAAGGCCCTCGCCATGGCCATGGCCATGGAAGGGGCCTTTCCCGCTCGCCCCACATGCCCTCCAGCCTCGGAGGACGTGAGGGGCAGGTGTAAGGCCCTCACCATGGCCACGGCAATGGAGGGGGCTTTCCCCGCTTGCCCCATGCACCCTCCGGCCTCTGAAGGGGCGAGGGGCTCCCAGCCCTCTTTACACTCTCCAGGCAGCAAAGAAGGCTCTTCAGGAACTGAAGGTAGGACAAATCTAATCCTTTGTACATGACTCCCCCAAACCCCTCCAATAGTATCTGTTGGTCATGGAAGTCCTGTATGCCAAGTTTGGTTCAATTCTATTGTTGGTGGAGTTCAGAATGCTCTTTGGTGCCTGGTGAACTATAATTCACACAAATGCAATTCCCAAAAAGTCAGAGCTGAATCGGTTGGCAGTAATTCCAATCCCTTCATCCATTGTCCGTATCATTAATCACGATGCTTCAATTATGTTCAATTTGTAACAATTGAAATACATCCTGCATATCAGATGTTTACATTACAATTCATAACTGTAGCAGTCATGACGTATCAACAAAAATATGGTTGGGGGTCACCACAACATGAGGAACTGTATTTAGGGGTCACGGCATTAGAAAGGTTGAGAACCACTGCTCTAACAGGACCTGAAACAGTGCCACTGCTCCACAAGGTCACACACTAATTTTCTTATGCATTTGGGAGAAATGGCCCTCCCCATTTGCTATCCTATCTCAAGGCAATGGATAGAATGGATCATTTTGTCAATTTATCACCTTAGATGTACTGAAAGCAAAATACATCAATAGATTATTAAATCACAGGTGGGACACAGAAGTATGCAAATTGATAGTCCTTTTAATTTTGTTTTCCTCTATTGCCTCATGTATAGCTTGCTTAGGTCTCCTGCTTCCTTCCTCTGTAGAAGATGATCAAAGTCTTTATTTCTTTTGTCTGAGAAGAGGTCATCTATACGGCCCCATCCCAGTGAAACCTGCCAGCTTTCCCACATGTACAGAAGCAAACTTTAGGGGCTTCTGGATATGATTAGTCATCCTATCCTGTGTGGGTGTGCCACTGAGGTTTGAAAAGAGAAAGAAAATACTAGTTTTACAGCAAGACTAGAGGATTTCATGGATAAAGAAAACATAATGAGTGTGTGTGTTGTCTGTGCTAAGACAACCTGTCATTTGCCCTAATTTTGTGAATGTTTATTCTTGGCATTTGTAGTCGTTTCACAGTTCTATGACTGTATCCCAGCTTCACTGTCCCCAGGAAGTTTGAACTCACTTATCCACCATACATGACAGGTTAAAAAACACAGATGCAGAAGTATGGTCACCAAAATGGGAATCATAAAAAAGTGGAGGCTGATAAAAGAAAAGAAAAAAAAATCACTCCTGGAGGGATTTTGGAAGAATCATAGAATAATAGTGTTGGAAGAAACCACATGGGCCATCTGGTCCAACCGCATGCTATGTAGGAAAAGCACAATCAAAGTATTCCTGACAGATGGTCACCCCATATCTGTTTAAAACCCTCCAAGGAAGGCACGTCTACCACACTCCGAGTCCCACTGCTGTACAGCTTGTACAGTCAAGAAGTTTTTCCTAATGTTCAGGTGGTATCTCCTTTCCTGTAATTTGAACCCACTGCTCCTGGTCCTAGTTTCCAGGGCAGCAGAAAACAAGCCTGTTCCCGCTTCCTTATGACACCCTTTCTCATATTTATACATGGCTATCATGTCTCCTAGAATCATAGAATCATAGAGTTGGAAGAGATCTCATGGACCATCCAGTCCAACCCCCTGCCAAGAAGCAGGAATATTGCATTCAAATCACCCCTGACAGATGGCCATCCAGTCTCTGTTTAAAAGCTTCCAAAGAAGGAGCCTCCACCACACTCCAGGTCAGAGAGTTCCACTGCTGAACGGTTCTCACAGTCAGGAAGTTCTTCCTAATGTTCAGATGGAATCTCCTTACTTGTAGTTTGAGTTCGTCTAAACATTCATGTTGGTGTTGTAGCTCAGTCACTTCTGACTTTTTGTGACCTCATGGACCAGCCCACGCCAGAGTTCCCTGTCGGCCGTGGCCACCTCTAGCTCCTTCAGAGTCAAGCCAGTCACTTCAAGGATACCATCCATCCATCTTGCCCTTGGTCTGCACTGCTTCCCTTTTCCTTCCATTTTCCCCAGCATCATTGTCTTCTCCAAGCTTTCCTGTCTTCTCATTATGTCTTCTCATTATGTTTGCCTCTAATATCCTTCCCTCCAGTGAACAGTCGGCCTTGTGGTCCAAGGCACTCTCAGAATTTTCCTCCAACACCACAGCTCAAAAGCGTCTATCTTCCTTTGTTCAGCCTTCCTTATGATCCAGCTCATGGTCATGTGCAAATATCCACTTGGAGATTCTGGTGTGCCTGAGATGGGCCATATAAACATAGCCTCTTTCCTTAACCACGGAAGAATCAGAGTGAATTTTTTTTTACTTTCTTCAAGAATTGTAGGTTGTTCTTTCTGAATTATAATTCTTGATGGAAGCTGGGGTTTGTTACACCCATTTTCAGAGTTTCTCTCATCCAAATTAGATTAATTTGCTATCACTGTTTTCAGTAAAAGAAGAAAAATAATGGAAAAATACCCAAAGCAATACTGAAACAAACTATTATCTAGAGAGAAAATGATGAAGTCTTGCTTGATGTATGAGGGCTTTACCCCTTGGGAACTGCTTTCAAACTGTTTACATTAAAATGGAGATGCAATTATTAATTCCAAGGAGATTCCCTACTCCTTTGCTTGTGGTTATTATTGTTGTTATTTTTTTCCCTTTGGCAACCAGTCATTTTCTGAACATGAAGGGAAACTTCTTGACTGTGAGAAGTGGAGATAACTTTGTATAATGTTCCGGAGTTGAAAGTTAGTGAAGCTGAAGAGTGGTTTATGTGGGGAAATGGTTCTCTGCAGATTTACATGATATCTTTTTAAAAGCCAATTATTGTCCAGCTGTTGTAGCTGAAAACTAATAGCATAAAACCCAAGGTTTTGCTGGTATTTAATCAACTGACTCCATTCTTTACAAAATCCGCAGCATCTTCTGGCTAACTTACTCCATGGTCTGCAGTATATATTACACTGACATATCACACCCATTCTGCTTTGGTTTTTCTTTCTCTCAGCCCCAGAAAAGCCCAAGAATAACAATGTTGGTTATTATTACCTTGTGGTTGAAAAAGTGTGTCCTAAAAGGTGTACATGCTGTGCTTTTATAATCATTGTTATGATTCAAATATCTTTAAACTGTTTTCAGTTAACATTTCTAATATAATTTCTTGTTTGTTTTTATTTTGTGGTTGCCTTAGATGCTATGTTGGGGGAAAGGTAAGACATCTACACAAAAGCACATACACACATCTGGCATAAACTTTCCTCTAAGGGAAAGAGCAACACAATGTAAAACACCATATTATTCAAGTCCAATGCACATCTCTTTTTTTCTTTGGCTATATTACCCAACCTTCTATGGTACTAAAAACAGCTGAAACAAACCACCTCCTTCTGTTCTGTCTGTCTGTGTATTGTCTATACAAAGCGGCATTGAATGTTTGCCGTGTATATGTACTGTGATCCACCCTGAGTCCCCTTCGGGGTGAGAATGGCGGAATATAAATAAAGTGTTGTTGTTGTTGTTGTTGTTGTTGTTATCCCTTGACGTCCCAAAGCCCTGCGCTCTAATGGTAGCGCTCCCTCTGGCTGTTAACTCAAAAGTGCTGCACTTATGTAAAAGTGAAAGCTGGACTGAGCTCTTAACTCAAACTCTCTTCAGATGCTCTTAAGTCAAGGTTCCACTGTACCAGGCACTGATCCAGAGCCTCTACACACTATACAATTACAGTGCCACTTTAACTGCTATGGGAAAGGGGCCTTTAGAATCCCTAAGCTTACCAATTCAGGAACCCATTCATATTGTATTGTTCAGATCTTTAGAATCCCTGCCAGGAAATACTCCTTCGGTGCTGCTGGGCAAGCTACAAGCCAAATTCCAGAGGATGCAACCATCTTGCATAGAAGTACAGCAATACAACATTGTAGCATGAAAGGGCCCAGGACTTTCCCAACTTAGAAGGTCTCAAAGCTACCAGACTTTGGGACGCCCTCCCTCCTTCTATTCTATCCTTGTCCTGTTAGGCTTACTAGGGTAGGGTTTCTAATGCTGTACATAATTGTTTATAAGGGTATTTTTTATTTATTAATTTATTTACAGCTTTTATATTCCACTCTTCTCACCCCGCAGGGGACTCAGGGCAGATTACAGTGTACACATATATGGCAAACATTCAATGTCAATTTTTGACATACAAACATATGCAGACATACACAGAGGCTATTTAACTTTTTCTGGCCGCCAGGGGAGCTGTCACTTTCATCGTCCATCTGCGATGCTGATGAAGCACTTCCGCATTCCCCACATGCTTCCCCGCTGGAATGCTTTGCTGGAGTCTTCTTTATGGCCTCATAAATCAGTTAATTTAGCCTCCCCACTTTAAGGTGGTACCTAATTTTCCTACTTGACAGATGCAACTGTCTTTCGGGTTGCAAAGGTCGACAACAGGCTACACACAATTGGTTGGAAACCCACTCCAACCGGGCTGGCTTCGAACTCATGACCTTTTGGTCAGAGTGATCTTAATGCAGCTGACACTCAGCCATCTGCGCCACAATCCCGGAGTTTAATTAAATTCCTTTAATGGATTTTAATATTTGCAGTGTTATATCATTTTAAACATTGTTTAATTGTTTTTAATCTTATAAAGATTGAGCATCCCTTACCCAGAATTACAAAATCCAAAACTGTCCACATGAGTGGCTGAGATAATAACATATTTGCTTTCTGAATGCACATGGACTTTGTCTCATGCACAAAATCATTAAAATATTATGTAGTACATTCAGGCTATGAATACAAGCTGTGCTTGAAACATAAATTAATTTCATGCTTAGACTTGGATTGCCTCTCCAAGATATCTTACTGGGTATATGCAAGTGTTTCAAAATCTGAAAGAAATCTGAAATCTGAACCAAGCATTTTAGACAGGGGTGTGTATTCATACAGTTATTCAGATTTTTGAGTTGTTTTAAATTGTATTGTTTTAAACATATTATTAGTCTCATTTAGTCCCATTGTTGGGAGAAAGGTAGGATAAAGGAATAAAATAACACCATTAACAACAACTATTTCAGTGAAATTAAGGTCTTGAGGAAGCATTAGAAGTGATCGAACACTCTCTCAATTTTAGTTCTTTCATTATTTGTGTGCTATTAGAAAATTAAAACCTTCAGCTTTTTGATCTAAACATGTCAACGAAACAACATCAATAACCAAGCAATTACGAGGACAGTAAAACCTGCTAACCATCAAAAGCACTGATAGCACTACCAATGGAATAGACGTCAAAGGATAACACATCAGGGAAACTGCAATATTTGCAAATATGCATTTCTATTTGTGCAGTTGTATGACAAAAAGGGAATTTACAAAGTAATATAAAAAGAACACATCTGTGACCCCATTTTTAAACCCATAAATTCAATACACTTTTAGATGATTTCCTGAATGTTATGTTTTTAAAAGTAAGGGAAAGCTAACATATTTTCTCACCTGTATAAGGCTCTTCCACCTATAGTCACCAGATTAGAAAACACACTGAAATCTGTCATATTTTCAGGCCATGATTGTATATTCAGGAACCCTAAAAAGAATTGAAACAAAGATGTTAGAGAATGACAGGAGACATGCTGTAGCAGTCCAGCTGGGGGATTTTCAGCAAAAATGAATATTTCTTCCACAGAGGAACGTGTAGAAAATGGGTAGAGTGAAGTAATAAAGAATCTTAGGCAGTTTAAAAGCTAATATAAGGCTTTCATTGAAGCTCACCCAACTGAAGAATATGTTCTGTGCTATTTGGTTAAACATTCACTTGATAGCTTAGGAAGGTTAGGTTTTTGGACTATAATTTCCAGAAATCCCCAGCTAGCATGATAGCTGGGCATGCTAAGGTATGTCCTCCAAAAGTTACTTTTCCAAGCCACCCTAATAAGATTTGGAAAAAGCAGCTTCCTGAACTTCTGTTTGGACATCTGCCTCCAGTTACACTATACATAGCACACTAATTCCTTAATTTTGCAGCCTTCTTTGACAAAGAGTACTGGTGCCTCGCCAAACCAACCCTAACCCATGATTCCATAGCACTGAGCCATGGCAGTTGCGTGTGCACGGGCAATACACCTCCCCCCACCGGCCCGAGAAAAACCACTCACACAAGGGTGTTGGGATAAACAATGACCACAACTCATTTATTGATAACAAGAACAAGGGTTGGCAGCCATGCATGGGTCCTGTATCAGGATCAGGCAGCCCACTGTTGTCAGATACTGCGAGACACGCCAGGATGCTGCTGACACAATACCGGGCCCAATGTAAACTCGGCACTCCTGAGACCACCAGGCGTTCCCCCTTACCGCTAGAGGGGATACCAAACCAGATCCAGGGCCCATGCCCACGCCAACCAGGAGTTGTGATGGGAAGCATCAAAAACAAGCAACAACAGGTAACCGTAACAACTTAAACAAGCTAACCTCAAACAATTACTAGAACAGCATGCAGGGTGAGTGGGGTGGATCAGCTGTTGCAGGCCCAGTGCCTGCTTGAGAGCATGGGGCAGCCTTAAGTAGGCTGCCCACAAGGGAGGGGAGGTCAGCTCTAGCCTCACCCGCCTGGAGGCATGGCTAGCAGCTGATAGGGCCATCCTGCTGGACAGCGGGAAACCTTCCTGCCGCGCGAGGGGGCTTCTGGGAGGAAGAAGCCCCCTCAAGCAGAAATGGCGGCAGGGGACGCCCCGCACCGCAACTTCCCTGGCCCGGTAAGTCAGGCCATGCCTTTTAATGTGGTGTCAAATTGCATTAATACTACACTGTAGATACAGCCTGATATTTCCTTTTAACTGCTTTATGACTGCATTCTATAGAATCCTGAGATCTGCAGCTTCGCAAGGCTCAGAAGTATGTCAATCAACTACAAATTCCATCATCCAGCAATGGCAGATAAACTGCTAACAAAGTACTGTAATGGTATGATATGAAATAATCTTTCACATGTCTGCCAAAATATCTGTGAAACATACTTTTTATACCTGAACAAATCTATACATCTGAAGTAAGACCTCAAAGAAACCAAATTCATAGAAATGTAAACGGATATTTGCAACCAAAAGAGTTACAACAGAAGCTATCAATATTTTGTGTTTATATATGAAGTAAAATGTAATTTCATCTCAATAATCACTGAATAACGGGTTTTATAAAGCATTCTCCCTATATTTAAGAAGGTATGGTTATGCTGAAAAATGTGGAGGTGAGGTTATCTTGGGTTCAATTCAGGGCTGAGATAATACGAGGGGTATTTTTTAAGTAAGGTCTGTTTTGTTGTAGACACTAGTAGTTTGTGAGCATTCTGCAACAAGCACGTGCGTCGTGTACCGGCATACCTCGGGAACAACTGTGCTCAGTTTCCGCTCTGAGGCTAACCTGTACGGTTCTGTTCTGTGCTTTAAAAATGTTTAAGACTATCAACTCACCCGCCGCATGTGAGGTTCGCTCAGTGATACGGTTTCTGTCAGCAAGGAACCTGCCTGATGCAGAAATTCATCGACAGATTTGTGAAGTGTATGGTGATACTGTTATGAGTGAAAGCAAAGTGCGTAAGTGGATATGACAATTCAAAGATGGCCGTGACAACGTCCATGATGAGGACCGCTCCGGTCACCCTTCTTTGATTACAGACGATTTGGTTATCGGAACAGGCGGCAAGTTTTTATGATGAGGGTATTTTAAAATTGGTTCAGAGGTATGATAAGTGTTTGAACAAACTTGGCATCTATCTTGAAAAATAGAATGAAGTATGTACTTTCTGAAAATAAATTTACTTTTTTGAAATAAACTTTCGTTGTGAACTTATGTTCCAATGGACCTTACTTAAAAAATACCCCTCGTATTTTAACCTGGCACTTTTGGCTCTTCAGTCACAATATTAACTTAATTCTCTTATGCATTCAATAATGAATGGAAAATACAAAAGTCAAGAGATACCTGTTATCTCTCTCACTGTCTGGAAGATGTTTAAATTTTGTGGGTCGATTGCTTCAATAGTATGATATGGGTCCCTAGAAGAAAGCAAGAAGGAAGCAATAAAACATTTGAAAGTAGTTATATACTGAAGGAGTTACATCAATTCTTGAATGTGCATAGGGGAAAGATTTGTCCCTCTGTAGCATCAGTCAGCCAGAGTTCCAATAAATTATTGAATCTGCAAAGAGGAGAACTGACTGATACTTCTAGTGAGTAAATCTCTGTGCTGGGCTGGGAAGAAATCCCTAAATGGAAGTTGTATTGGTTAAACAAGATAGCTGTTGTGGCTTTTTTTAAAAGAAAAATCATCAAAACTTTTTAAAAATCCCTAAAATTAGTTGATGTTTCTGAAAGTTGGAGGGAATGATCCCCTGTTATGTTGTGTCACTGTATAGAAAATTCAAGGAGATAGCTTTTGTAGTTTCTTTTTAAAAATGTAGTTTATAAAAACTTTGAAAATTCCCCAAAATTACATGGATATGTGAAACATTCTGAAACATGATGGGCCAACAGTGGTAAATGTGTTCTAACATTGTAGCAAGTTTCAGCCCAATAGCTGTAAAAATGAGGGAGAAATGAACCCCTGAAGTTTCTTCATCTGTGCTATTACTATACCAAAAAGTAACAACATTTTGTTACTCTCATTATAGTAATGAAATTTTCACTAACAACACTTCAGAAACAAAATGCCAGTTCCCCTTTATTTTGTAATGAGTTTTGAAACTTTTTTTCAATTGCACAATTGCACAACCATAATATACAATAAAACTAAAGAATTACTTTTTACAAAAATGTAATCATAACCATATTATATTCCCATTTAACCTAAAACCGTAATTTTCACATAGTCTTGTAACAAGTAATTTTTAATCCTTGGTGAAGGTGAACTGCAAAAGATCAATGAGGAAGAATGAGGAAGTACTCCACCACTGTCATTAATGGACGGTGAAGCGACAGCTCCCCTGGTGGCCAGAATACCTTCATGAAAGCTGGAATGTTAAATAGCCTCTGTGTGTCTGTCTATATATGTTGTGTGTCTATGGCATTGAATGTTTGCCATGGATATGTACATTGTAGTCCTTCCTGAGTCCCCTGTAGGGTGAGAAGGGTGGAATATAAATACTGTAAATAAATAAATAAATAAATAAATAAATAAATAAAGGCAAATATAACAATACAACATAAAGTGCTGGGTTTATGTTATCCAAGGACATGGTAGCAGGCACAGGGGAGCATAAGGAAGATCTCCCTCCCTTCTACACCTCCACTGTATAAGTGGGTGGGAATGGAGAGCATTGGGGATTTGAATCATGCAGAAAAAAAGGAAGAAAAGGAGAGACTTTAAAGAGCAGATGGGAAGAATTTTAATTCTTCTTCAGTTCACATTAAAATTATGGTCTTAATGCCCTTTTCATATTTCACTAATATTTCTGCATGGAATTTTGTTCAATACCAGCATAATCAATGTAGCTCTCATCAATGGTGGTATATCGTTTCTGCCAACATTTTTACTATATAGATCTATAAACCATACAAAAAACTAGCATTATTCAGAAAAACTTGGGGGGGTGGGGTTGTAATACAAAAACCCTCCCCTTTTGACAACATTTGAAACCTATTTCTGCGTAGATAAAATTTAGTCATTTAATGGTGTGTATCATCACTATCTACTGGAAACATGTTCTTGCTACCAGTGCTGTGTATGTTATTACTTTAATGACGTGGCTGTGGAGTCAGGCCTTCGATGAATGAGACAACACCATAGGACCCTGGATGGAAGTTGATGTAGATCCATCTTAATAGGACGACTGACCACTGTAATTTTATATATAGTGTTTTTAAAGTTGTTTTTGTAATTGTGATATATGATATTTTAATGAGTGTATATGTTTTTTATGGCTGGAAACTGGGCTGAGTCCCTCAATGAGGTTGAGAAGCTCGGTATAGAAAACTGTGAAATATATAAATAAATAAATAAATAAATAAATAAATAAATAATGTTTATGTTTAATGCATATGTTTAAGGATTCTTTGTGTCTTGGAATATTCACCAAAGAGATAAAGGATTATCGAAATACTGTGCCATTGATTCTTGAGATTTAACTCTTCCCCATCATGGCTTCCAATCAATATTCTGCACAAATCATAGTTTGGCCAATGACAAACTCTGATTTCAAGTTAGGCTGGATCTACACTGCCCTATAATCCAGTTTCAGAATGTGGATTAACTGCATAGAACTGGAATATATCAGTCTACACTGCACTATAATGCAGATCTATGCGGTTGATCTGCCTTCTAAATATAGAATTATAGGGCGGAATTATAGATCCAGTCTCAGATAGCAGCCCAAACACAGTAATTCATAGTTGGAAGTGTGACTGTGAATTGCAGGAATCGTCTGGCATAATAAGTTATAGTTAAAGCTACATTACCACAGAGCACTGAAGCATTTCGTATATATTTATTTTATTTATTTATTTACAACATTTATATGCTGCCCTTCTCACCCCGAAACAGACTCAGAGTGGTTTACAAGATACATATACATTCAATATATTATGTTATTAGCATAGCACAATATCAGTATTATATATTACTATATTGAACTATACCCTTATATTGTAATATTATTAGTAATATTATATGTGATATAAATATATAATAATACCATACTATTATTAGAATTATATTGTATTACATTATAATATTATAAATATTATATGTACAGGGTGAGGCAACATAACTTCCTTTTTTAAAATGCATGCATTCATTCGGTTGAAGACGTAGTGGAGCGCTAGTGATCTCGTTCGAGAGGCAGGAGTATAAAGTTTTGTCCTGACACAGTTCAGTCGCCATCATGTGTTGGAACAGTGAGGAGCGTGCTTTTGCCATTGAGGCCTACTTTTCGAGCGGATTTGGAGTGGCTGGCCCGCTCTCCAGATTTGGCCCCTTGTGATTTTTTTCCTATGGGGTTTTTTGAAATCCCATGTTTATGTGAACCGTCCAAGGACCCTACAAGATTTGAAGACCAACATCCAGGAATAAATTGCCAACATAACGTCTGCTATGCTGGCAAGAGTCATGAAAAATACCAGAAATCAGTTTACTCAGTGTATGGAGAATGGGGGACATCACCTACCTAATTTGATCTTCAAAACTACGTAAAACAAAACTTTAGATATGTGCCTACATTATTATAAAAGAAATTTTAAAAATTCTGATTCATACAATGAGTTTTATTAAGTCTTGAAAAAAGGAAGTTATGCTGCCTCACCCTGTATATACAATATATTATATTACATTCTATTATATTATTAGCATAGCACAGGAGAAGATGGAACTGACCCCTGCCCACCCCCCTCTGCTGGCCCAGAGCAGCAGATGGTGCTGTGGGAGGGGTTAAATGGTAAAATGTATTCCCCAAACAATCTTGATATGCAACATGGAGAAAAATGAGCCCACAGTGTTGGAGTGTGGGCTGTTTTTGCTATAAACGTGAAATAATGCAATTCAACTTGACTGTAAGGATGTTTTCAAGCATGCTAAATTTCATCCTACCAGTGACAACTTTGGGATCATTTTAGTTTCATTATATTTTGTGGCGAGTGAACTTTTTTGCAACTTCAAAACTGTAAATATACTTTGAAATATTTCTTTTTTTTTTTGTAAAAAGCCAAACAACTGCAGTTAATTTTAGGTTTTAACTTGTTTCAAAATATTACTTTCAGGCAATGTTAACATTTCCATGGTGTACTGCCTCACAGTATCATAGAATCATAGAATCAAAGAGTTGGAAGAGACCTCATGGGCCATCCAGTCCAACCCCCTGCCAAGAAGCAGGAATATTGCATTCAAATCACCCTTGACAGATGGCCATCCAGCCTCTGTTTAAAAGCTTCCAAAGAAGGAGCCTCCACCACACTCCGGGCAGAGAGTTCCACTGCTGAATGGCTCTCACAGTCAGGAAGTTCTTCCTCATGTTCAGATGGAATCTCCTCTCTTGTAGTTTGAAGCCATTGTTCCATTGCGTCCTAGTCTCCAGGGAAGCAGAAAACAAGCTTGCTCCCTCCTCCCTGTGGCTTCCTCTCACATATTTATACATGGCTATCATATCTCCTCTCAGCCTTCTCTTCTTCAGGCTAAACATGCCCAGCTCCTTAAGCCGCTCCTCATAGGGCTTGTTCTCCAGACCTTTTATCGTTTTAGTCGCTCTCCTCTGGACACTTTCCAGCTTGTCAATATCTCTCTTGAATTGTGGTGCCAGAATTGGACACAATATTCCAGGTGTGGTCTAACCAAAGCGGAATAGAGGGGTAGCATTACTTCCCTGATCTAGACACTATGCTCCTATTGATGCAGGCCAAAATCCTATTGGCTTTTTTTGCTGCCACATCACATTGTTGGCTCATGTTTAACTTGTTGTCCACGAGGACTCCAAGATCATTTTCACACGGACTGCTCTCGAGCCAGGCATTGTCCCCCATTTTGTATCTTTGCATTTCATTTTTCCTGCCAAAGTGGAGTATCTTGCATTTGTCACTGTTGAACTTCATTTTGTTAGTTTTGGCCCATCTCTCTAATCTGTCAAGATCGTTTTGAATCCTGCTCCTGTCCTCTGGAGTATTGGCTATCCCTCCCAATTTGGTGTCGTCTGCAAACTTGATGATCATGCCTTCTAGCCCTTCATCCAAGTCATTAATAAAGATGTTGAACAGGACCGGGCCCAAGACGGAACCCTGCTTGCGGCACTCCGCTCGTCAATTCTTTCTTGTCTATTATATTATATTGTATATTAGGAAGGATTGTATTTTGGGCATTGTCCAAGGGTTAGATGAATAGCTTTGGCACACCCATCAGGACTTCTTGCTATAATTTGAAGGGCTGACTCCAGCCTGTGCTCTACTTGCCTGCCTCCCAATGTAATTCAGAGAACTCCTGAAATTAATTCCAGATTTGGCACCTGTACAATTGGCTTCAACAGAAGCTTGCATATTTTTCTTCTTCTTCCTAAAGGATTATTGATGTGCACCAGTACACATGCAAATCAGTTAAAATCAGCAGAAAAAAGAGTATATCAGGATACCACTGTGTGTCATTAATTCATCAATGCATAGATGTGCACCAGTACATTGATCTTCATTCAAGAAATGTGAAAAAAGAAAGGGAAGTCGAACAATGAAAAATGAAGCATATTCTGTGTCCAAATTTTAGAAGCAAGAAAAGAAAAGAAAAGAAAAGACAGTGTGCTGCTACAGCTCCCACTTTATTTGCTTTGTATTAAGTGTTTGCTTTCAGCCCAAGGCTTGGGATTCTGCAGAAGGGTGGCTTCCTGTTAAAGTTTGCAGTTATAGGGCAGGCCCCTTGTCCATCATCGTTAAGTTTGGTTCCGCCCCCTGTTCAGGACAATTGAGAAGGGAAGGGAGCCATTTCAGTCAGTCTCAGCAAGAAAAGTCAATGTACAGGACGTATACAGACTTCTCCTGTACAAAGGCTCAACCCTTAAGACCTCCCAAGGGAGAACAGTCTTAAGAGCAAAAGGATTCCCAAAGATTCCCAGGGAAACAGCCCTAAAGCTCTGAGGAATTTCGGAGGGAAAAGCAGCTTTGAACATCTAAGAACTCCAGCTGAACTGACTACAGGCCTACTAGTAGGTCCACTCGGTGCTTTGAGACGCAGTTCAACCCGGTAGTGGTGCCCACATCAGTTAGGTTTAGGTTCACAGTCCGCTTGGGAGAAGTTTGGAAAGGGATTTTCTTTTAGAGTAAAAGTAACAGAAGCCACCAATTGCACAAAGGCCTGGAAGCTTTTCTTTAACCTTTTGAAGACAAAGGAAGTTTCTGCTGATTGTTTACCAATAAAAGACTTGTTATATTTCACAAACCCTCTAAAGACTGTTTATGGTGAAAATCCTTACAAATTTCTCTTCAGCCCCCCTGGCTTCCCGCTGGGCTAAAGTTACACGTCCTGTATTAAAGGCAATTTATTTCAAGCCCAGCACGCGACAGAACAGACAGACATATTGCAAAGGAGTGCTACTTCGGAAAATTGGAACCATGTAATTTGGAACCTCAACTTGTGGAAGAACATTTGGGTAGGTCACGTGCCATGGACATCCCTCATTGATGGGGCAGAGAAACGAAAATAGAAGAGCTTGGACTGCCCTCCTGTTGTTTTCTGAGTAGGGAATATGAAAACCGAACACAAGCAAGAAGCTATGAAAGCAGCTTCTCTGTGTTTCTGACTGATTTTCTGACATCCCTGACACTTGTCAATAAACTATGTCACCCCTCACTCCCATCACAGGACTGATTCATTCAAAATAAACCCAGACAGCTTTGACAGTTTTGATCAAACTTTGCAAATCGCAGGACAGAAACAGCAAAAGAGATAAAGAACCTGGATACAATTCCCAAGATCTGCAAACTCAAGGCCTTTGTCTCGTTGCCCTTTCCACGTTCTAATAAAACTAGATGGTTCCTTGTTGTGCCAAACATACACTAGTTCTGAGGAAAAGCAATTTTCAGTTCACTATAGAATGACAGCAGAATTGCTGTTGAGTCTGTTACTTAGATGCTTCAGGTCATAATTCTTTGCACTCACCCATGAATCCCAGTGACAAGGAAGATCAGGTTCCCATTGATCTTGGTGCAGTTGACAAATTTGTCAATGTTACTGGAGTCTACAGTTTGAGCATACATCAGACTTCCTGTTCCTATGCCATCACATGCTGTAAAAACAAAAGAAAATCATAAAATTAATATGAATTCATAATTTTATGCCACTGAGTTTGTGAAGGGTCTGACAGCCTTGACTGATTGGTAATTAATAAGAGGGAAACAAGATAATTAATGTAATTTTTCCTGGAATTACTGAGAGTTAATGGACCCTTGTTCGGGATTGATTCTCAGTGGCCAAAAGCAACTTGTTGACCGCACAAGTGCCCAAGGGCATTTTTGAACACACAGCTCCCCCTAACTGGTTTTTTTCTCTCCATTAAAATAATAATAATAATAATAATAATAATAACACCTTATTTGTACCCCACTACCATCTCCCCAAGGGACTCGGTGCAGCTTACATGAGGCCGAGCCCAAACACAACAATACAAGCAATAATAACAACAATACAAACAATGTAAAAAATAGACAATAAAATACACAACATTATCAATAAGACAATACACAATTAAAAACAGTGGGAAGGCCAAATGTAGAGTTAAAATTGGAAATAATGCTGGGACATGGACAAAAGGTGATACTGGTGTTTGTGGAAGGGCATATGAGCAGACCTAAAAATATGAAAAGTGCTTTGGAGGACAAAGTGCTATGGGATCATTATTCCGGGAACGCACACTATAACAGCCACGTCTTCAAGCTCCTCCTGAAGACTGCCAGAGTTGGGGCCTGTCTGATGTCTTTAGGGAGTGCGTTCCAGAGTTGAGGGGCCACCGAAAAGGCTCTCTCTCTCATCCCCACCAATCACGCCTGCGATGCTGGTGGGATCGAGAGCAGGATCTCTCCAGATGAACGAAGATATCATGTGGGTTCGTATACAGAGATGCGGTCGTATACAGAAAGATAATTAACGTAATTTTTCCTGGAATTACTGAGAGTTAATGGTCCCTTTTTCAGGATTGATTCTCAGTTAGAACACAGGTGGCCAAAAGTAACTTGTTGACCGCATGAGTGCCCAAGGGCATTTCTGAACACACAGCTTCTCTAGTACCCCCTAACTGATTTTTTCTCCACTAAAATACACTCCCACAGGCAGACATTTTGAGTATTTTTCCATGTTTTAAAAAAATGTCAAAATGTAGGGTCAACACATCATTCCAGTGACTATCCTTCTCCTTGAGTTAAACAATATTGTCAGTCACTGGAAGTACAGGTCAAGAAGTCATGTGACTGCAAGAAAGAAAAATATACACAACACAAATCATGCTTTTATTTGTGACTAGCTGTTCCCTGCCACGCGTTGCTGTGGCCCAGTCTGGTGATCTGGAAAATAAATTGAGAAAGTGTTGGTTTCTAATATATGTAATTCCTTTATGCTTGTGAGTAAACAGTTTTTCTTGTTGTTTCTTTGCCAGTTTTGATGTGGGGAGTGTCTGGTTTGCCTACTCTGGAATATGCAACATATCATAGTCCTTCTTTAAGGGTTTCTTTCAAATCTATGATACTATATCTCTCCGTGTGTGAGAATCATATCTATCTATATTTATGACTGGATGGCTCTTTGTCAGGAGGGCTCTGATTACATTTTCTTGCCTGGTGAAAAGAGTTGGACTGGATGGCCTTAAGTATTTTCTGTTGGTCATGGGGGTTCTGTGTTCTAAGTTTGGCCCAATTCCATCATTGGTGGAGTTCAGAATGCTCTTTGATTGTAGGTAAACTATAAATCCCAGCAACAACAATTCCCAAATGACAAAATCAATTTTTTTGAGTGGAGGACATACATTGGACTGTTAGGTGTCTTGTGTCCAAATTTGGTGTCGATTCCCCCAGTGGTTTTTGAGTTCTGATGGTAGCACGAACTAACATTACATTTTTATTTATATAGAAAGGGGGGTAGGAAACCATGTAGAAACTGGAAAGAAACTCCTTGATACTTAGCCAAAGGCCCAATCTGCACATAGAATACAATTTAAAACCACCAGTATATAATATGTTCAGTGTAGAATCAAATACAATCTGCACTTATATGAGTCTGCACTGACCATATAATGCAGTTTGAAACTGCAGTATACGGCAGTGCAGATGCAGCTCAGAGATGTGAGGCAGGGATGACTGTTGTTGAAATAAAGAGAAAGAAAAAAGAAAGGAGAGCTGTGGGAAACAGGCCTCTAAAGCCATATATTTCACTCGACTGGTACAGGAACTTCTTTACTTTTTGATCTTTCATTTCAAATAAAATGATAATCTTAGAAACTTCCCTTTGAGTCCTACTTGTTTAACCCCTGACCTCCCTTAAGCACATGAAAGCTAGCTAGAGTATGCTAGGAAACACTTATATAAGGAAGCCTAGGATGCAGTTATAAGAAACTGAATGAATGCCTATGTCCTACACACGTAATTGTGTGTTTGAAGAAATAGTACTTATAGCACTAGCTCTAGGAGTTTGATCTAATATTCTTTAGATTCCGCAGTGATAACAACCATGTGCAGGTAAAAACAGGCGGGCAGACTCATAAGTTAACAAAGGGAGGACTTCCAGCTGTAGCATCTTTTTTCATAGAACAATAATGAACCATTAAGAATTGCGGTCTCAGAAACTTCCTGCCCATCCCTATTTTCACTATATACATTAGGGATAGTATTGGATTCTGTGTAATGACAAGCAGAGCTCCCCCATTTTTACAGTGCCAGCAGGTAAGATTGAAAAAAGACTTGCCCAGACCTGTACAACCTGTGGCCCTCCAGGTGTTTGAGACTCCAACTCCCAGAAGCTTGTCCAATGATCAGGAATTCTAGGAATTGGAGTCCCAAACACCTGAAGGGCCACAGGTTGTGTGGGTTTGAAATAAATCATCACCACTAGAATATTATAACCAAACCAGATCAAACAAAACCAGATCATACAAAACCAAATCATCACCACCAGAATATTATAACCAGAATATTATAACCAATACAACACCGCCTGAGCTCTGCGAGCGCAGCATTTTTCAGAATGAAGCAGAAAGTGTTTGAGGCCCGGGACATCCGCAGGGATACCAAGGTGCTTGTTTATAGAGCTATTGTCCTCCCAACCCTGCTATATGCCTGTGAGACGTGGACTGTCTACAGACGTCACATGCAACTCCTGGAACGATTCCATCAGCGCTGCCTCCGGAAAATCCTGCAAATCTCTTGGGAAGACAAGCGGACAAACGTCAGCGTGCTGGAAGAAGCAAAGACCACCAGCATTGAAGCTGGTCCTCCGCCATCAACTCCGCTGGACCGGCCACGTTGTCCGGATGCCTGACCACCGTCTCCCAAAGCAGTTGCTCTACTCTGAACTCAAGAACGAAAACGGAATGTTGGTGGACAGGAAAAGAGATTAAAGATGGGCTCAAAGCCAACCTTAAAAACTCTGGCATAGACACTGAGAACTGGGAAGCCCTGGCCCTTGAGCGCTCCAGCTGGAGGTCAGCTGTGACCAGCAGTGCTGCAGAATTTGAGGAGGCACAAATGGAGGGTGAAAGGGAGAAGCGTGCCAAGAGGAAGGCGCGTCAAGCCAACCCTGACCGAGACCGCTTCCACCTGGAAACCAATGCCCTCACTGCGGAAGAAGATGCAGAGCAAGAATAGGGCTCCACAGCCACATACGGACCCACAAGAACATTGGAAGACAATCATCCTCGGAAAACGAGGGATCGCCTAAATAATTATATTTTCAGGTGGGGCTGAAACAGTTGAATGTATTCCTAGTTTTCAAAGAAATATATCTTCACCACAGAGATATATAAATCACCACTCACAAAGAGCTTTATATATGCTGATGACCTTGGCTTAACAACACGAGCAAAAGACTTTGAAACAGTTGAAATCCAACTTACGAATGCCTTGAAAAATTTCTCCAGCTACTTCAAAGCTAACCACCTGAAGCCTAACCTGCCAAGACATAAGTGTGTGCTTTCCACTATGCAACCGTGAAGCCAACAGGAAATCGAAAGTCACCTGGGAAGGTCAGGTGCTTGAACATTGTTTCCATACTAAATATCTCAGTGTCACCTTAGATCAAACACTAGCATATAGAAAACACTGCTTGAACACCAAGCACAAAGTAGCTGCATGCAATAACATCCTGAGGATGGCAACACATGGTGTGCAGACCCAAAATTAGTAAGAACATGAACCCTAGCCTTGTCTTACTCAACTGCCGAGTATGCCTGCCCTGTTTGGCATAGGTCTGCCCATGCAAAGCAGGTGAACATAGCATTGAATGAAACATGCAGAATAATCACAGGATGTCTTAAACCTACACCTGCTGATAAACTCTACAAGCTTTATTTATGTCCCGCTACCATCTCCCGCAGGACTCGGTGCGGCTTACAAGAGGCCGAGCCCAAAATACATCAGAACAAAAAACATAACCACAACAATACAATACAACAATAAATAAGTCATAGCAAAGCAAAAACAATAACAAAATATCACAACACAATTTAAAAACCCAGCAGGGCCAAATGTAAAGATTTATTTTTTTAAAAAAAATTCTGGGCATGACCAGGTGAAAGAATTTTGGGGGGTAAGTGGGTGTGCAGACACTTCTAACTCTCTCGTAAAGTGCATTTGGGACATATTGCTTGGGATTCCTTAATCTGGGAGGGCACACTGGAACTTCCATGTTTCTGAAGACTGCCAATGTTGGGGCATGCCTGATGTCCTTGGAGAGGGAGTTCCAGAGTCGTGGGGCCACCACTGAGAAGGCCCTGTCCCTTGTTCCCACCAATCGTGTTTGCGATGCAGGTGGGATCATGCGCAGGACCTCTCCAGATGAACGAAGAGATCATCTGGCTTGATCATCTTTGGCAATTGACTATCCCTGGTGTTTAGCACACTCTCTCTATTTGAACCTGCCAGAGTCCAGAGATCTTCAGGAGAGGCCCCTCTCCCAGTCCCACCACCATTACAAGCATGGTTGGTGGGGATGCAAGAGAAGGCCTTCTTGGTGGCTGTCCCTTCACTCTGGAACTCCCTTCTCAGTGTGAAAAGAATGCCCTCCTCTCCATGGTCCTTCCAGCAG